GGGGGGGGGTAAGGAAATGTAATGGAACTACACAATACTAACAGGCAAGTTATAGTTTCAATATAGTGGCCCTCTAAAGTTTGTGAGAAGGCAGCAAATTGTCCATATTTGGTTTACTGAACCAGCCAACGAAAGTGGCAAAACTTTTTCAAAAATTTGGTATTCTTTGATTCGTCTGATTGCTCGCTCGACGTGAATACGGAGGCGGGCAATTTGTTGTGTTTCTGTTACTTCTTTTGAGGTGAACTGCAAAGACTTTGTCTTAGACAGGAAAGGAGGGATTGTCAATGTAGCTTTTAGGGGTTGTAATAAATCTTGAATCAGAAAACCCTTATCTGCCATGACCTCGTTTCCTTCTTCGATAAGTGACAAAATTCCACTACGCCTTGTTATCTCTTTGTCTGATATACTTCCCTGATATAAAGAACTTACAAATGTTACTGCACCATGAGGAGCTATTCCCACGAGGCATTTAAGGGTGGTATGCGACTTGTATGCAGAGTAAAATTCTGAGTTCAGAACCTTAGAGCTAGGCCTTTGGACTTTGATCTCAGTGCAGTCTAGGATAACCCTTGTTTTAGGGTATGTGGTTTTGAAGCACTGAGGCATACTATTTTTTGTCTGAGCAGTTGTGGACCAAATTGGCACTTGGCCAAGCATTGTATACAGAAAATTTGCCCAAGTTAAAATGATTCTGCTGACAGTACTTGTGCTAATATTGAATCTTACTCCTAAGTCTGTCTCCAGCAATCCCAACCTTAGTCTGATCATAAATAAAAACAGTTGGTCATAGAGTGACAATGCAAAATTGCCACTGCTGCGCCTCCGCTTGTAGTTTTCTTTGCCTCGTTCACGCTGAATCTGGGACCATTTTATCATGGTTTTAGCATAAGGTTCAACCCAGCTATAAAAGCTATCAAATCGTTCCTTTGATACAAAGCCTGTGTAAAATGTCAGCAATTCAGAATCTTTGGAAATGTTTTCAGCTCCAAACCTGGTCCCTTTTAGATCTTCCACCTGTTGCTCTAAATCACTGATTTGTGCTTTAAGGATTTCAATTTGTTCCACTGCACTCAATTCGGCGGGTTCTATGTTTTCGTTTTCCGGTTCGTCTGTAGCCATTTCTTCCATTTGCTCATCACTAGCACTGGCTCCCTGGCCTCCTGATCCAGTCTCCCCTTCCTCCATTTTGACATCCTGCTGGAATGAATCGACAAAAGATTGTCGTCGCTCCTCTTGTTCTTGCTGTTCTGCCATAGTTTTTAACTCTTGTAGTTTATTTTGTGGGCGGTCTTGGCTGGACTTTGTCCACTGAAACTGCGAAGGCACAACTCCTGGTTTCAGACGTATAAGCCCTGTTATAGTTTTAAACATATCGCTTGGCTTGAAGTGAGCAGAACACACTAGAGCAGAGCCTTTCTCGATCTAGGAAACGAGTTTAACACTCTGAATTAAATCGCTGATAACAAGGGAGAATCTCATGGAATATTAATAATCATATTCGAGTCAATGAAAACAAACAAACCGGTGCCATGTGCGTTTGACAGTTTCAGCCAAAATCGACCAAAATCTAATGTAATGAGTCTATAGTTCCTCTGGATATGAATCGAGTACGCAATTCACGTGTAAGAAGCAAGTAAGACGGGAACTAACTGAGTCTTAAATCGAAAAACTTCCCGAACATATATATCAAAAGTGCACACGTGCGTTTGACAGCTCGCTGTAGTCACGACTCGACACTCACCTGAAAAAGCGTCCCTTCATCTCGCTTTATCGCGGCAATCCACTTCGATCTCTGTGAAGAATTTTTAGGAAAGTTGAAAAACGACAAATTCTGACCACTTTCGTTTCGTTTGTCGTTCGTACAGGAATTTACACAGCAATGATCGTGAGCCATATTTGCGAGTTATTTCCACTCAAACTCCATGTAACGCAACCCTCCAAATGACCGCATGCCCGTCCACCCTCGTTTTGGTGCGGCACTCGATCCAAGATGGCGGTGCGTGATATCGGTGTATTGCCGATGATGAGTGGCTTGTCTCTTGTTCGGTCTATTTTAATCCAGACAGACTCATTTGCATTCATGAGGTCTTCTTGCTCGATAAAATTTAAACTTTCGCGGCAATAAATTGCTGAGTTAATTCAGTGGAGAAGAGAGTTAATTTAGTGCAAAGAAAGAAACTAACCAGACATTCTGATTGGTCAGAGTGATTGGTCAATGTCATTGTCAAGGTCAATGTCAAGGTCAATGTCACTTGCAGGGTTTGAATAAATTATTTTTGCACGTGAT